GAATTCTCCTGTGGGATCGAGAATTTGCTTGTTGATGAATCCCATTATCTATTCTTGAACAGCCCTTATGAAATCATCGTGGTAGGTGTTATCTATCAGGTAAATCATCTGTTATTTGGAAAAAAACGGGATTATATATATGAAACCAGTAAGCAATAATTGACGGAAGAATAAATTTACGTACTTCAAGGTCCTGGCCAGTCCTGATTTGGTGTGCTAAGCAGTGCATGTAATGGCATACGTAGTAGCCGCACAAGTTAGTCCCCTTTTCCTGCTTTGCACACTGAAAGAGAAACAACGAGAGCTTTAGTATGCATATCTGATTTAGAACAAAGAAGTGATTCAATACAAATTTGGAGCTAGCATGTACTAACCGGAAAATTGAACCTCCGGGTTGGTTTTTCATTCCAGATCCCGCGGACCAATGTACGGAACCAAATCCATGCTCTATTTAGAGTTGTTAGGAAGGATTAATTTATTATCTGAGATCTAGTAGTTATACAATGATTCATAATGACAGTGCAATATATGACAATACCTATATATCACTTCGAAAATCTTTGCGAAAGTTTTCTCCGGTTTATCCATTGAATCGTAGACATGAACTTTGGATTTCTCAAGGTCGAAAAGAAGAAGGACCCAATGGAATCTGCAATTTGCATTACATGATACATAGTATGATTGTAGGAACTTTGTAGGAACAAAATTGAAGGAACAAAATTGAAGTTAATTATGATTGTAGGAACTCACGATGTGTTGTAGGGAAGTAGTATGAACCTCTTATAATGCTGCTGCACTAGGAAATGGACGATATTGTCCTCGGTTTGTTTCTCGTATTGTTGTATCATCAGCGTGTTCACTTTGCGTGGGTCCATGAATCCAGTATCGAATTTGTTGTGTTGACGGCACAACTGAATCTCTATTCTACAACGGGGAAAAGGAATGTGTGTGAGCAACGTTCAAAGGAGGAACAAAATTGAACTATAAACAGTACTTACAAAGTCCACGCGCTGAGAATAGAGACGTCGAGGGCCTTCAGGTGGTATAAGTCGAAGACTTCTTTGTAGCGGATCCAAATAACATCTTCTCCTTGGTAATAATCTGAGTTTCGCACCCTAGCTCCGAACATCTCTCTACCCATCGCTGATTTGTCCATGTACCATTGATGGAACCGGTACATTTGTGTAGGTAGCTCTCTGATCTTATCAGGCATGACTAGCGGTTCACCGAGTTTAAACGTGTACATGACCGGAGCCGTTTCGATAGGTGCGTCCTCTAGCAACTGCTCCATACTCAGTCCCGTATCTTTCAGGAAGTTGCATATCTCTAGTTGTGCCGGTTCTACGACTAACGGTTCAACCTCTTGTCGTGGCTGTTGCCCCAGCTGAGGGACTTCCTTTCCGCACTTCACTGCTGAAGGCTTGGCTTTAAGAGCCTTCTTCAATGTTCGATCATAGTCAGAAACTTCGACCGGTTTGCCCAGTTCGGCCATCTTAATAAAGTGATCCTGAACCTCCGGGGCTATAGGGATCTTCTTTTCCGGACTACGTGGCTTCAACTGCTCCCTAACTTCCGCTCTAACGGCTTCATCGAGCTCCTCTAGAGTCAAGTCGTACGCCCTTTTCTTGAGAGCGGGGAGCCGTGGCTCGTCAGATCTGGCTTTCTTCTTCGGCCTTGATTGTGTGGGTTCATATGGGTGGGACCTTGACGGTGTAGACTTGGCAGCAGGTGCACGCAGAGGAGTAGTTGCCCGCGGGCCTGACGGTGCAGACTTGGCAGCTGGTGCACGCGGAGGAGGTGGTGGTGCAGGGGAAGGAGCCGGAGGAGACTGACGAGGCGGTGATGGCGGAGCAGACTGTGCTTGCAGCGGGGAAGGAGGAGCGGGCGGCCGTTCTTGCCCGGGAAACACGATGTACTTCTTACACCAGAGTATGATAGCGTGGGCTGTGTCTCCAAGTTTCTTCTCCCCATCTCCTCCGGGGATGTCAAGCTCGAGATCCTCGTAGGTTCGTTCCACCAGCTCTATCTCGACCTTCGCATATCCATATGGAATGGGCCTGCAATGCTATGTACTCGAAGGGTCCGTGGGTATGGCCATGCCCGACGCGACCTTCACAAGAAATATAGTTCATTAATTACTAATCAACATATATATGTAACAAATTTCGCATTTCGCATACCTTGATAGACAAGTTCCTGAAGAGAATATGCATATCGCAGGGTGTTCACTGTGTGATATCATCAACGGGGAAGTAGGTTGCTTCGTGAGCTGCCACTGCCTCAATGCCCTCTGATCCAACTTGGCCCGTTGATGCGCAGCTGCTGCGGTTGCCCGAGGGGCTCACCATGACGGGCGCTTGTCTTTCCATTCCGCGCTGCTCGGCCAGGCGTTGGTCCACCTGTCTTGTCACCTCCTCTTGCATCTTTGCCTCGTAGGTGGACACCCTGTACTCAAGATCGACGATCTTAGCCTCTGTATCCCTCTTGCTCCTCATCCGACTCCTATACGTGTGGATGTCCTCTTTGAATCCATATTTCCAAGGAAGGACGCCTTTTCCTCGCGTTCGTCCTGGATGCTCAGGATTCTGTAGTGCAAGGGTGAGCTCGTCCTTCTCTCTGTCGGGCCGGAAAGTCCCCTGCGTAGAGGCTTCAATTGCATCCGCAAGTTGGCGTGCTGCATCTCGAATCTCATCGCCGAATATGAGGGAGCCATCACCTGGATTGAGCGATCCACCGTGTGCATAGAACCAGTTCCTCGATCGCTCAGGCCAATTAGCCGTGGCCGGCTCGATACCCCTTGCTATCAAGTCAGCTTCCAACTTGTCCCACTTGGGGATTGCCTTTCCATATCCGCCTGACCCAAGCCGGTGATGGTATTTCTTCTTAGCTGCATTGGCTTTGTTCTTTTCTATCTGTGCTTGCCCTTGCACTCCAGTCTTGTATGCCACAAACGCATCCCAGTAATCCCTAAGCTTGTTATGCATGTTGAAATCAGGTGTCAAGCCCTTGAGGATGTATCTCTTGTACAGATCTGATTTGTAGCTCTGAAATAGTTCTGCCATTTTCTTCAGGGTCCATTCTTTGCATCTGGGACGATCTGCCTTAGGGATCGTGAATGTCTCCAGCATGGTGGTCCACAACATGTCCTTCTCTGTGTCAGGGAGAAAGCTATCTTCATCCACGCGTGACCTAGTTCGACGCCAGTACACTATGCTGATGGGGACGTTGTCTCTCACGACCCAACCACAATGATTCACAAACTTTCGTCCTATACCCGCCGGGGCTACTGGTTCACCGTCTGGGGCAATCTCAGTAACGATGTGCCTTCCCTCAAGCTTCTTCGCGGGACCTCTTTTCCCGCGTGGCCTCTTCTGTCCGGCCGACGGTTGACTATCAGTCCCCTCCTCGGTGCCCTCCTGGTTAGCCTCCTGATTACCCTCATCGTTGCCCTCCTCGTTCAGGTATTGGATGGGATCCTCGTTCCCCTCATCATCCACCCAGTACTGACTGCTGCCCTCTGCGATCGTGTCTAACAGGATTTGTTCGTCATCGCGGTCTGCCATCTGTGCGTGCAAAGAAAAGAAGACAGTGAGGTCATGGACATCAACATGTACAGCTCATACGTCTAAACCCTACCAGTATACATGTATAATTCGCTAAGTCGTTGTTCTCGTTAAGTCGTTAAGTCGCTAAGTCGTCGTTCTCGCTAAGTCGCTAAGTCGCTAAGTCGTTGTCCGTCAAAGTCGCTAAGTCTTCGTTCGTGAAAGTTGCTAAGTCGCTAAGTCGTCGTTCGTGAAAGTTGCTAAGTCGTCATTCGTGAAAGTCGCTAAGTCGTTGTCTGTCAAAGTCGCTAAGTCGTTCTTCGTGAAAGTCGCTAAGTCGTTGTCCGTCAAAGTCGCTAAGTCGTCGTTCGTGAAAGTCGCTAAGTCGTTGTTCGTGAAAGTCGCTAAGTCCTCGTTCGTGAAAGTCGCTAATTCGTCATTCGTGAAAGTCG